CAGGTTGTTGTCAGCTATGCTTCTTGATTTGGATGCTGCTTACATGCATTCATTAAGTCTGTGAAAATTCATCAACCTGCATATTCATAACATATGCACTTTCTGTGTTATCTATTAATAAAAAGTGTAAAATACATACCTAGGTCAGTTTAGGTGGAGAATCTAGAGGCCAGAAGTCAGTCAGTCACAGAATAGTTACAGTGTGAAAAAGGAACACACAGTAGTACCCTGCAGAAGCTTGACCCTTGATGATCTGTTAGTATGTCACAAGCTATTCTGAAACTTAGTGGCTTGAGCCAAGGGTAATTTTATTTGCTCGTAATTCTGTGGGTCAGCAAGTTTGGCTGGGCTCAGCTGAGTGGCTCTTCTGTGAGTTTCTCTGGCAGCTTGGCTGGGTCTGGATGACCTAGTACAGCCTCAAGGCCATGTCTCTCAGTTGTGCTGGCTTTCGTCTAGTCCCCTCTCTGCATGTGACCTTTCATGGCCCTGCAAATGTAAGATGTTATGGGTGGAGGCTGGAGTCCTCTTGAGGCCCAGGTTTGAAAGTTACACAACATCACAGCTGCCACGTTCTACTGGTCAGAGCAAGTCAGAAACCCAGTCATCATTCAACAGTATGGAATAGTGGGGCCAGTGGTGACCTGGACAGCAAATGTTCATCTAAAGGGGAGGGCCACTCATTTCTAATAGGAATTGATGCCATTTGACCCATTGCTCCCGCACATCTCATTTTTCATAAAAGTCATAAAACCAAAATTTGCACGGTATTTTCCCTATTTTTATATTTGGTAACTAATTCACAATGTTAAACAACACTGAACAGTCCATATAAACCTGCGTATGGGCTCAATGCAGCCTGTAGGCCTCACACTTGTAAACTGCGCTCCAGATACCAAAATTTACAATAATAGAAACTCCCATTTCCAAATAAAAGTGGACAGGAATTTCAGAAATCTCTCTTTGGTCTATGGGGCATCAGTTCATGCACAACTTTTGTTTGGTGTACTCTCTGGAATAGGAAACAGATCATGGAAGCATAAAAATGATGTAGATAGACACACCTAGTCTTCTCAGCCCTGAGACACCTCTTTCTGCTCTCCTTCCTTCTCCCTTATCACGTGATCACCCCCAGAATTGCAGAGACATCCAGACCTGGGTGTAGCATGGGCAAGTGTGTGTCCTCCCTGCCTTGCCAGGTGTCCCAACTCATAGAGAGTGGATTAAAGGCCACTGCAGCCAGCACTGGTCTGATAGGAAGTCCCTGGCATGCACCAGGCACAGTGCTTTCACTTCAGCATCTCCACAGCCTGTGACTGTGAGTCTGAAGACCTCAGAGAGGTTTGTCTGCTCCAGGGTTCCTCCAGCTGGTAACTGGCTGAGCTGTTAGGAGGGCTCAGTGATGGTGAGGCCCACACCTTCCACTAGCACCTGTGATTGATTCCACACTAACACCTCATGGTCCAGGGGCTGTATGAAAGCCTTCTGGGTGGTTATAAAGGGGGGGCGGGATAGTCTCAGGGCCATGACCATGTCCAGAGGGCAGTGGAGTTTGTTTGGGTCCCTGAGCTGCTGAGCACCAGCTGTAGAACTATTCACTGGATGAAACAGGAAGTGCTCAGAAAAGGCTGTGGGCAGCAAGGCGCCTGGCATTGTCCATTACCACTATTGGTGCATCCTGGTTCCGAGTCTAATGTCCTGACACAACAGCACTTATCACACTCCAGTCTTTGCTGTTCTCCCCACCATGGGGAAATTCCCATGATTCTGTCCAATTTCCTCTTATTAGAGGCATTTTCTTTTTTGAGAATGGAAATGGTTTTGCACTCTCCATTTACTAAAATAGGAGTACCGCTGATGCAGAGATCCTGGGCTGCCTGGGGCGGCTGTTCCCGGTACCCAACCTAGACCCTGCTAGCTATGTGATTATTGAGGGCCTAACTGGTCTTTTGTAAGGAATTCTCATCACTCTACACGGTTGAACCTCACAGATGAGAGAGGCCTGGCAGGGAGGGAACGCTGTGACACCAGTGCGCGGGGAGGCCTCAGAGGCGTGCAGCTGCATCATCCCACACGCTGCACACTGACTCTAAACCCTACATACAGAATGAGTCCTCAGATTTCCAAACTGAGGGGCACTGCTGACTTTACACTTTTAATTGCTCAATTAATGAATATTTACATTTAAAGAAAAAGACTTGAAAGGACCAGCATTGATTGTGAAGCTAAGAAAGGACCTATTTACCATTTCCGATGCTTCATAGAAGAAAAATCTGGGGAAACTGAGTTTCTTGATTTCACAATTATTCTGAATACAAACACGTAGGCATAGGCAGCTTCATTTATGTAACACTTTAGTTACACACGTTTCCAATCACGCTTGTCTGTGAGCGCTTGCCTGGGAGAAGCCTACTTAAGCTGACTACTTCTTCTCTTTCCAGAACCAAAAACCATGTGATTTTCATTCCTGAAAGAACTTAGCTATGTTGGAAAATGTTGGGCCTTGGAGTAAGGAGACTTGAAAACACTGTTGATGGAAGAAATTAAAACTTCCCATATATGTTTTGTCAAGGTATGTTATTCTCTGCTTTCTCTAGAAACAGGATTTTCTTAAAGATAGTAAATATTTTAGGGTACATGGATAACACAATCATGAAGGCATATCAGTGAATGGGTATGGCTGTGTTCCAACGAGATTTTATTTACAAAAACAGGAAACCCAGCCTTAATTTGCCAAATCCTATACTAAAGGGGAAGCGAGGTGCCCCAGTGCTCCCCAGAATATCTAGGTATTCTCAGTGAATGCTCATTACCCAATGTTTGCCTGAGTGTGTGCTCCAACTGCAATACACAGATGTGAAATTTTTAAATGGAGAATATCAGAACTTTTGATGGAGTCCATTTTATCGAGCAAGCTAAGTGGAATTAAGGCATGATGTTGTATTCCCTGGAGTTATGCAGAGCTTGGATGGCATTTACTTAAATACATCTATCTAGAATAAAGTGAAGAATTATAGTTGCTTGGAAATAGGGAAGAGTAATCGAGCCCATGTTTTGGTTGGATACCATCTGATCTGACTTTAAAACATAAAAGTTTAAAATCATCAGTGAGACAAATTTTCATTTATCCATTGATTTTTTAAAACTTATTTTTAAGTTAAAACTCATAAATGATATAAAATAACTTGTAAAATGAAGCCATAAAATTTTGGATTCTTTTAATGAATCCTTCCAATCTCAAGTAAAAGCCAGGAATATCTTCCACGTGAAGTACATCAGGGGTCATATTCTTGCCACTGTTAAAAATAATGCAAATCTGTTGATTCCTCTACTGCATCTCATTGAGAGAAACTGATGAATTTCTTTTCTAATGAATTTCTATATTCAAGAATTTCTCTAGCTTGGTGCCTGTATCTCAGTGGCTACAGTGCCAGCTACATACACCGGAGCTGGCAGGTTTCAACACAGCCAGGCCTGCCAAACAATGACAACTGCAACCAAAAAATAGCCAGGCATTGTGGCAGGTGCCTGTAGTCCCAGCCACTTGGGAGGCTGAGGCAAGAGAATTGCTTATGCCCAAGAGTTTGAGGTTGCTGTGAGCTGTGATGCCACGGCACTCCACTGAGGGTGACATAGTGAGACTTTGTCTCAAAAAAAAAATTTTTTTTTCTCAAGGCCTAGCTGTGGGTAAGCTCATTTCAGATCTCCAAACTGCCAGTAATAATTGACCTCAGAAAATCTTCTAAGGAAATGAAAATATACTCCTAAGCATACTTAGAAAAGCATTTGCTCATTTTATATAAGACAGAGCAGAAAGAGCAGGAGACATGACAGTTCTCTTCGCCCCCTTATATAGAGGGTGACAGGCATTTGAAAATGCTCAAGTGCCACATCAGATCATGTGAGAGAGAAAAATGATGTCTGTGAAAGAAATAATTATTTTGTCAGACACTGACAACAATTATGGGTTAAATGAAGGTTTGTTGTAGCAGTTTGTTATACACTGAATGTTTGAGCCCCCAAATTCATACTGAAGCCCATGCCCCCAACATGATAGTGTTTGCAGACAGGTCCTTTGAGATGTAATTAGGGTTATATAAGGTCACAAAGGTGGGGCACCCGTGATGGGGTCAGTGTCCTTGTAAGAAGTGACACAAAGAAGCTTGTTCTCTGTTTCCTGTGTTCACACAGGATGTGGGCACACAGTGAAGCCAGGAAGAGGCTCTCACCAGAAACCAACCACTCCAGTTCGCTGATCCCAGACTTCTTGCCTCCAAAACTGAGAGAAAGCAAACACCTGGTGTTTAAGCCACCAGTCTGTAGCACCTGTTATGGCAGCCTGGGCAGACTAGCACAAAGTCTAATTTTGATTTTTCCAGGGCGCTTTTTCTTGTCATCTAAAATAGTTCTTACATAACAAGAAGGTGATTTTGGGGGGGGGGGGGATAGAAGTAGAAGGAACAAAGAATGAAGAGGTGCAGAAATAAGTGCAGGTTTTCACTATGTATACATAAAATCTATTTTGCCTAGTCTCAGATTTGCAAAATGACTTCTCAACTTTTTTTCATTGGGAAGACTATTAATTCTTAATATATTTTAATTTCCACAGCTCTTACATAAGAAGTTAACTGTCCATATTTAAAGTACCTACAGATGAAATTTTCTTTTAAAGGTGCTTTGAAAGTCAGTATTTTGTTTTACAGTATGCCACACAGTTATCTGAGGAGCAGCCCTATATGCCTCTTTGTGAAGCATTGCACTGAGAACTAGAAACACCCACTGTATTGGGAGTCACAGGCCAGACTCATAATTCAGAACATATGTCTGTGCCAGGCTGGCTGTGCTGAGGGAGCTCTCTAACAACTAAGCCAAGCCAGTCTGACTAGCTTTGAAAGACCATAACCACGTCCTGTCTTTCATTTCTTATTTCTTATAATAATAGAATTTTTCCTTCCTGAAAACAAAAATTATTACAGGCATTAGCAGGGTGTCAGGTATAGATTTTATAGACATTTCAAAGGATTACAGTCAATTTGAAATGTTGAAGATTCATTATAGGTTTTCAAGGCTTTGAAATATTTACATTTGAAAATTTTTCTCAACATTGCAATGTCAAAGGTAAGTTATTTGAACTTGTAGGAGGCAGTAATGCCATCAGAGAATGACAGATGCCAAGTCACAGTGCCCACATTCCATGCACTTTTTGCAGAATGCTGTACTATGTTAACTGCTGCTACAAAAGAGGCAGTTAGTGCACTGACTTTTCGAGAACATCCCTTCAAGTAAATCTCATTGCCTCTTTGCAGATGAGCATATTGGCTTTTAGAAAGTACAACAGAAAACAAACCTGCCATAGAAACCAGAAGTAAGATTTCTTGTCTGAGACAAGCTTTTCATTTTGTTAGCTCTCTCCTCCACCTTGTTCATTCATTTCACAAACACTTATTGATATCTCCTATGTGCCCGGCACTATTCCAGACTCTGGGGATACATGATTAACAAAATACAGTAAAGTCTCTGCCCTCTGACACTTATATTCTAGTAAGGGGAGACAGACAAATACATAAATACATAATATCCCAGGACTCAAAATGGCTTAGCAATATCCCACCTACAGGAGAGAGGCCAACAGCAGACTGCAGTTAGTTTGCCAGTCCCAGTTCTACCATCTGTACTAAAAGCAGTGGAGCCCTTCACCCAGTCTGAGCCTTGGTTTCCTCATCTGTAAAATGAGGAGGCACTGGATTAAATGACATATTAAGAGAAAGCATCCTTTCAGGCTTTTATTCTTCATGGCTTCATGGGAACATCTTGCATGTTCCAGTGCCAGTTTGTTGACTGTTCTGAAGTTTAAAAAGTATTTTTTAAATAAAAAATAAGGTATCCTTTGGTATTTCACATACACTCAATACTTTATAGGCCAATCTAAACTTCTTTTTATAAGTATCAAATGTCTTATTTACAGTTGCTGCAGAATGAAGTTATTTTACCATCTTTAGCCACATAAGCCAAAATATTCATTTCCATTGCTGGTTCCCAAATCCCACCAAATTTGTGAAATGTTCCCTGGATTTGAGATCCTCTCCTAAATGTGACACCGTTTCTCTGTTCTACTAACCCATATCTCTGAGAAGAGACTCTGTGCTCTTGTTGGCCATTCTGACTGGAGTATTAGCTCCATGAAAGCAGGAATTGGGTGCTTACTTCTTTGGAGAACAATCCATATGAGAGTCTGCCCAGGTGATCCATAGACATGTCTAATTATTGCACCTGCACTATATTTTACAAGCATAGGCATTTTGGAAACCCCATTAGCTCTTCAGGCTGTGAGTGTACTTCTATTCTATATTAGAATTTTGGTCTATCAAAGGGTACACTAATAGCAAAAGAGAAATGTGTTTTCAGAACAATTCATAGACTAGAACAACGTGACTTAGTAAGTATCCTAGCTTCTTTGGGTCTTTGGGTGGAATGTTAATGTATATTTCATAACACAAGCAAAGTGTAGCACATTTTACAACCAATTAATTTTTCTTAAAGAAGATAAAGTAGCAGGAGGCTGAATGTCAAATAAGGTTAGACTCATACTAATTAATTCAGTAGGAGTTATGAAGCTCCCAATTCTCTTGAAAGACAAATTATATTCACTGGTTTGATTTTGAAATGTAGAAACTAGAGTTTCAGTCAATCCAGAAGCTCAAGATGACAGTAAATTGTACAGGACTATTCCAGAATCTTCTCTTCTTATCTGGATGAGATCTCCACTGACACCTTGGAGGTGTCTGAGGTTGAATGTTCTGAGTTTTATCTGGTTGCTGTGTATTCAAACATCCTACACCTGCTTTCACATTTGATCACTGGGTCTAATCACAAGGCACATCTTCTCAGTCCCTTTGGGAGCCAAGTGAAATAAATCTCTGCCTCAATTTTGAGATTTAATTCCTTCCTGTTGCTTTGTGGTGTCAAGATGTAGTGTCAACCTTATCAGAAGTACCTCATGCAGGCTGGTACATTGTTCCTTTTCAGAACAGTGACTGAAAAGGAATGATAACCAAGTCTTTAGCTGGGTGAACACACTATATGATCAGATGCAGGGGAATTCCATGCAACCTTGAAGAATCACAACAACTCCTGTAATAAGCAGTGTCTTGAACAATGCCTATATGGACTACAAGATGATTTGTAAAGTATTTACAAAGCCTGGGTGATGTCCAGTGTCCCCATTGGGGCTGCAGCCCCTCCCAGTCACTCCACAGGGCTTTGGGTGGCCCCTGAGTCTGCATCAGGCCTGGCTTCAGCTGTGTCACCCCCAAAGTCACTGTCTGTAGTGTGATCTTCAGGGTGGACATCTGTTATGCAAATGAGCATAACTCCTAAGTCCAAACCTCCACAGGCACTATGGCTTCTTTGGTTCCAACAGAAGGAAGCAAGTTTTCTTCAGACAAGAAATAGAAGGGAAATTGTACCAAGAACCCACGGATCTTTTTCAATTCCTCCTCGGCTCTAATGGGATCTTCCTCAGATAATCTGGGCTTATTTCTAAACTCTCTTAGCTGAATTAAAGTGTGTACTTCATCACTTGGAAGGCACCGGAACACCTGATAAGAATGTAAATAGAAAATTGAGTGATAAATTTGAAAAAAGCTTCCAAAAGTCCTTTATGGAAAACAATTATTCCAACAAACAAGGCTTGTGTTTTATGAAACATATATTGTTAGTTTTATGTTACAGCACAGACCTAATTTAAGAATTGGTTATCTTATATGCTACAAATAGGTAGATGTGCTTCCATTACAAAATCACAGCTAGATCCTAATATCTGCTGTACACAAGTCATTAACAGCAGGATACACTGATGTTACCCCACAGTAAAACTAGTTTGAGAAGTAATGATCACCTCTGAATTTGAAGTTTGGGTCTAAGAAGAAAATTTCACATATTTTCCATTTTTAGGAAAATGATCCTATCTGTATCTGTACTTAGAGTTATCAATTATTAATATATAACAATTTTCTAATTGAAAATGAGTTTTAGACACATAACACATCATACCTGAATACTTTCACATTTATTTCTTAAGAATAAGAATATGTGTCTATATAATCACCATTTTCACATTGAGAAAACTTAATTCCATAATGTCCATATTCAGATTTATCCTACTATCCCCAAAATGTCTTTTATAGATGTTTCCCCCCAAACCAGGACCTAAACCATCTGATTATGCACTGTGTTTGCAAAATCACATTTTAAAGACTCTATGCAAAAGACCTATTTTACCCATAGCCTCAAGTCTTCATTAAGAAATAAGGCCATGTGGACAGCATTATGCTTTAACAATGATGTCTTTCCACTGGGAGAGACTCTGGAAGTCATGAAGAAAAACACAGTCTTGCCAATTTCTCATAGGTGGTCAACGGATCGCAGCTTGAATGTTTTCCATGATGGGGAACTTGCTACTTCTTGAGGTAACCTGCTCAACTGTTAGACAACTCTTAACTCTTGTACATTCTTCATCATTACCCATGGACAGACTTCACAGGACATGCTTTTGCTATGCATCAAGCATTTTAAAACATCTTTCTAAAATTAGAGCTAGCCAACAAAGGACATGTCTCATTATTAACAAGCTTCATCATGAGAATGGCTGCTGTTCACTCTATGTGCTAAATACATTCAATAGGCCATTTTTCAGCCTCATAACCACCCTAGATAGATCCCTTCCACTTTATAGGCAAGGAAAGGGAGACTCAGAAAGTTGAGTCACTGTGCACAGGTTACAACACTGGCAACTGGACAAGTTGGATTGGACCCAGCTCCAATTCATTTTTTGATCCCATTAGTCTTCTCTTCTCTGTCATTAGACATGTCCAAAGGCCAGGTGGGTACACACTGAGGGTGCTTTCAAGGGATTTCTCCTCAGTTAGGGCCAGTGTGCCAATAAAGCCTCTCTTACACCAAAGTCCATGATGGGCTTAGACTTTGTTTCTCAGCATCCACAAACAGGTGTTTAACTACAACCTGAAAATATGTTGACTTTTGATATTCACTAAGAATACTCTATACCATTACTATGCAGAAATAATAATTTCTTGGCTTTTCATGGTGAAATTCAATGAAAAAAGGGGGAGAATATGTGAGCCTCACCTTATCATAAATTGTAGCATTTCGAGCTGCTGTTGAAACCCACACCTCCTTGAAGAATTTGTCACTCACTGGATCCTGGATGTCCTCACTTGGGTCATCGAGATAGCCAAGGACAACCCTGAAACACAAGTGTCCTCCTGATTGAGTGGCCAAGGTAAAATTTTGTTGTAGGCTATATATATATTCACATACACATAGTGTGGGATAAAAGCCCACATACTGTGTGCTCACTTTAAACTCTAGAAGCAGGCGGACAGACTTCTGTGGAATGCAACTCTGTTGAAGACCCGGTAGCCTTGGTCAACATAGAACAGGGCCTGAAGGTTTGGGCCTAAAAACCCATCTGCAGTGACTCTGGCTATGTGGCTGTTAAGCCTGCAAGGAAACGGTTAAAAGCCTTCCTGCAGAGACACAGCCTAGAGGGTGTGGATAGCTTCTCATAAAACGGCATTGCCTCCAGGTTGCCTAGAGACAGAAGCCATAAACCTGTTTTCTGTAATACAATGAGTGCGTAGTAAAACTCCAAAACTTTACTCCCCTCTTGGTAATCTCAAGTCTCTAGACATACTCCCCTTTGCAGCTGTGTTGAGGTTTCAAACTTTGTGTCTTTTTGAAGTTTGAATTAATTTTAGAAAAGTAGTATGGGCAAAGATGGCCAACAGGTACCAGCCTCTGACAGAAGCTCCTGTCCAGAGGGAAGGATAAAGTCCAGAAAATACCCAACAAAGTTGAAGACTAGGAACCCAGCTGAGAGAGAAGAGTGATATCTGCAGGACAACTCTGCTGAAGCAAGTTGTGACTCCTAGAAAACAATCTACGACTACATAATACATCCCGAAGGAAGGGTATCTATCCCCTCCCCAAGATAGTTGTGTTTTTTCTCTTTGTCGGCTCCTGTGAGTTTCCTACAGGTGAGGGTTGAACTGAGAACTTATTGTCTCACCCCACATGTGAGAGCTACAGAAAGACGGGTCTACTCTCCTAGAGGGACCCTGCTGCGACTCCAAATACCCTCTAGCCGGGCAGAAAAATTGAACTAACTGCCATTTTGAATTCCCAGACCACCCTTCCCCACTTGCCTGCAGAGACAGTGAGAGGAGGCCCCAAGAACAGTGTCCCCTCCCCCCGGCCACCCCGCGGGACCAAGCACCCTGGCCCGGCCTGCAGCCAGAGAACTGCTTGAGCTGCATGTTCCCCGCCCAGCTGCCACTTGGCTACCACCCCTGGGGACCCCAGGGGGGCATGCTGATGATTGTAGGACCCACACATCCCCCGCCAGCTGCTGCCGCTTGGCCGCCACCCCTGGCGCACCTGAGTGGGGCGCACCAAGGACTGTTTGACTCATGCATTCCCCACACAGCTGCTGCAGCTCAGCTGCCGTCCAGGGCACCTGAGCAGGGTGCACACAGGACTGTTTGACCTGTGCATCACTTGCGCAGCTGCTGCCGCTCGGCCACCACCCATGGGCACCTGAACAGGGCGCACTGAGGACTGTTTGACCTCTGCGGCTGACACTGCTTGGCCACCAACCCCCAGTCATCTGAGCAGGGTGCCCTGAAGACTGTTTGACCCACGCATCCCCCCCGTGGCTGGTGCCCCCTGGCACCCTAGGGGGACCCCCCCCCAGGACTGTTTGACCCGTGCGTCCTCTGTGAGGCTGCCGCCACTAGGTGGCCACCCCCAGGCAACTGAGCCAGGCACGTCAAGGACTGTTCAACCTGTGCATCCCACAAGGCTGCCGCAGCTTGGCCATCGCCCTCTGGGCACCTGAGCGGGGCTCCCCTGTGGGTCCCCGGCGTTACTCCCACAGCTTTGTGCCACCTCCGGGCACCTGAGCAGGGCACTCCAAGGACTGTTTGAGCTGCACGTCCCCTGCACAGCTGCTGCCGCTCAGCCACCACCCCGGCACCTGCAACCCACAAGTTCTTGGCACCCCAGGCCCAGCAGCCCAAGAACTGCAAGAGGACAGTCAGTTGAGAGGGAAATACACAGGAGTGGCATTACCCAGAGGTGAAGAGCAAAACAGACGCAGCAGTTAGAATGATATGGCTCACACTCCCTGAGGCTTTTCTGGACAGACCCGCTCTATCTCTCCTGTGAACCAGAGGAAGCCAGCAGTGGCAGCCATAGGCTAAACAGTTTTGGGACAGTCTCTAAACAGTGCAAATTCACCACAGGGTGGAATCAGCTGAAAAATTTGGATAACCCCCAGAGTAGATCAAGTCCCCCAAGGAAGTATGGGGCAGAGCAATTGAAGATCCCATCCACAAACAGATGGGTAGGATGACAGAAATCGAGTTCAGAATCTGGATAGCCAATAAGATTAACAGATTGGAGGAAAGGAGGGAACTAGAATTTCAAGAAATTATTCAAATTATTCAAAAGATGTCTCAAGCATTCAACGATTTCAAAGATAAATTAACCAAAGATTTTGAAACATTGAGGCAAGAGTTTGCAGCCCTCAAAGATCTGAAAAAATACGGTAGAATCCCTCAGTAACAGAATGGAACAGGCAGAAGAAAGAATCTCTGACAATGAAGACAAAGCTTTTGAATGAGCCCAAGAGCTCAAAGATGAAAAGGAATGGAGATAAAAAATGGATCTTTGTCTCAGATAGCTCTGGGATAATTCAAAGAAAACTAATATTTGCCTTATAGGAATCCCTGAAGGCAACGAAGTTGCTTGAAAAACACAGAGGCTTGTCTTCATGAAATTATGAAAGAGAACTTTCCATACATGCCAAGAGATTCTGAAATTCAGATAGCAGATAGTTTCAGAACCCCAGCACGACTTAACCCATACAAGACATCCCCCAGGCACATAATAATTAACTTCACTAAAGTTAATATGAAAAGAAAAATCCTGAAAGCAGTTAGATGTAAGAAAACCATAACCTACGAGGGGAAGAATATTAGAATGACTGAAGATCTCTCTGCCAAAACCTTTCAGGCTAGAAGAGGATGGGCATTGACTTTTAATCTCCTAAAACAAAATAACTTTCAACCTAGGATCCTGTATCCAGCTAAACAGAGTTTCATCTATGATGGAGAAATTAAATACTTTAACAACATTCACATGTTGAAGAAATTTGCCATAACTAAACCAGCTCACCAGGAATTTCTTAAACCTATCCTCCATAATGACCAGTGCAATCCTCCACCACATAAATAAACTCACTCAGAATCTTTTGATCAAATTTCAACTTCCACAGTGGTGAAAAGATTTAAAATTTCTACTGGACTTTCGAGCAACTCAATGCCCTAAATTTTACCAGACTTATCAGTAATTTCTATCAACATGAATGGCTTAAATTGTCCTCTACAGCAGCACACATTGGCTGATTGGATACAGAAATTCAGACTGGATATCTGCTGTATTCAAGAATCGCATCTTACTTTAAAAGATAAACCAACAAAAGTAAGCAAGGCTAAAGATGGCCATTTTATATTTGTTAAGGGTAACACTCAATATGATGATATCTCAACTATCAATATCTATGCACCCAGCCAGAATGCACCTCAATTTATAAGAGATACTCTAACAGACATGAGCAACTCGATCTCTCCCAGCTCCATCATAGTTGGAGATTTTAACACTCCTTTGGCAGTGTTGGATATATCCTCCAATAAGAAGCTCAGCAAAGAAATGTTAGATTCAAATTTAACTATTCAACTTTTGGACCTAACTGACATCTACAGAACATTTCATCCTAACAAAACTGAATACACATTTTTCTCATCTGTCCATGGAACATATTCCAAAATTGATCACATCTTAGGTCATAAGTCTAACCTCA